TCCTCTAAAGCTCACCCTGCTCTCAGGAAAGGCCTGTTCAAAGGAGACTGTGTCTGCACCATCAGGGAATATATCGTGGTAGCTTTGTTCTTCCTGTTGTACCTTTGATCTGCTGCTGTTGAAGCAGATTAAGACACACCATAGCTCCGTAACTAGTGAGTAAGCCTTGGGCTTCAAGAAACTTAGCAGAAACTGGGTAAGAAAACAGGAAAGCAATTAAATCTAACCTTTTGCATTTGTTCCCTAGCCTACAGGGTCAGATGACAAGAAGCCTTACGATTGCTCCCCCATTCCTTGGCACTGGTCCTGCTTAATGTTTTCTGAAAGCCAAGCATAGCAAGCACATTTGAAAGAAGAAGGCTGCTATAAGGCCTGAAAGATCCAGAATTAACCAGGTGCTAAGAAGCTCTTGGTAGACTGGCCCAGCTGAAAGATCTGCCTGAGGCAGCGCAGACCCTACTGCAGGGATGGGAGTGGGAGGAGAATGAAAGGCCATGCCCCTGGCTACCGAGTCAGCCCCTGGGGCCACAGTCATTCATGGCAGCAAGTGCCCTGGTGGCTTCTAGGATGCACAGGAAGCACACAGACTCTTGACCAGAGCCATGAAGAGGAGCATCTCAACCTTCCCCATCTTGGGTCTCACACCAAGGTCATTTGAGGCTGATCATAGAATCCAGTCCTAAATCCACCTCTCATAGTGAAGTCCCTTGTTATACCCTACCAGCCCTCCAGCCTCGCCACCCAGAGTCGGCCTCCTCATCTCTTCCAGCCCACTGCTTTGAGAGGTGCTTGCTTGAGATGGCTTGGAAGGGAGCTCCATTGGCACTAAGCTGGTGCTCTGAGCTTACCAGCTACTCAGGGGTGGGTGAGTCCAGCTTCATCCATTCACTCCCTCCCACCTGCTGAATCAAATGGATAATAAAACACCCAACTGAAACCAGGAGAGAAGAGGCAGCAGCTACTGCAGTAATTACAAAACACCTTCAAACAAAGGAGAAATTCTTCCTCAACAGCAAGTAAATGGGGCCCGTTGCAACAACGGCAGTCCCATATTTCTGACTGCCGAAGAGAAGTGCCCTGTCCGGACAGCCGAGTCATGGACCGCATGGGCATTCGGGGGCCTCTCACAATTGCCCTCACCATTCTGAAAAAAACCAAGCTGCTGCCTGCTGCCCAGGGTAAGGTAGGAGCTGGATTTGAACAAACGGCAGCATCCATTGCCATGGAAACCAAGCTCAACAATAGCAGGAGATGCGTTTCACTTAAAACAGCAGCAACACCCCTGTGGAAGCCTTGGATCCCAGAGAGATTTCTTTTTATTTCTGCAGATGCGAAGGCCATGAAGCAAAGCAAAGCAAAATGGCTGAAGAGGAGAGGCAGGAAGCATGGTCACCGGGGCACCACAGCACCTCCAGCATCACAGCCCTGCCCAGTTTGAACCACCACGTTCCTTTTCCCACCAGACCTGCAGCACTCATGGGAGGGAGGTGCTCAGCAAGGGCATCTCGCCTGGCTGAGATCTGTAGCATTATCCTCTACAGCAGCATGTTACGCAGAACACCCCGCAAACCAGCCATGGGTGCGAGATGAGATGGGTTATTCCCACCCAGGCTCAGCTCATGCGCCTCCTTGCCGCACTGCATACGTTTTGGCTTTGTTGATGTGTCTGGTCCATGTTTGGATCCACACAGAGGTAGCTCCATCCCCAGCAAGCCTGAGACGGGATTTAATAGCAGCCTTCAACTCACTGAAGGGTGGTTCCGAAGAGGATGAAGCTGGACATCTCTCAGGGGTGGCAGATGGCAGAACAAGGAGCAATGGGCTCAAGCTGCAGCAAGGGAAGTTGAGGTTAGATATTAGGAAGAACTCTCTCAATAACACTGGAAAAGGTTACCCATAGAAGTTGTGGAGTCTCCATCCTTAGAGGTTTTTAAGACCTGGGTAGACCGTGCCTTGGCTTGAACAAGCTAGTTGGGGCTTGTCCTCCTCTGAGCAGGGGGTTGGACTAGATGACCTCCAGAGGTCCCTTCCAACCCTCACTTTTTAAGCTTCTCTGATTTGTGCTATATTTCCATGCTAAAGGCTGCCTAGAGAAGACCACAAGAAGAAAACTAGTGATGGGCAACTGTCAGTGCAGGCCCAAGCTGCTGGGAGATGCCCGCACATGTTGCTACAGTCTGTAGCCTTCCAGAAAGCTTTCAGCTAGACACACAGGCATTCACGCTCCCCAGCCACAGGCAGTTCTTCTCGTCAAATGTAGCTAGCCCAGATCCTTGCTCTGGGGGCAGTTGTGACACTGCATGGAGGGGAGGGAGGTAGGGAACAGAGAACTTGGAGGCGCCAAACTAGGTATCCTGCTCTGGGGCTACAGAAAGATGAACAAAGGTGAGAAGCAAGTTCCTTTGTTAGCTCTGGCAAACTCAAGCACATCAATACAAACCTTGGACCCAATTGGATGTTATTAGACACCTTGAGGGACTGAAGGGCTAACTCATAACATGCTGCACACAGGATTTCAATCCATTCTGACACATGTTGAGGAACTTGCCTTTGCCCTTGAGCCCTAGCTCTCAAGTCCATGGGCTGCGTAAGGCAGAGCTGCTAGTAAAGGGAATGACTAATGGCTTGTGAGGCATCCAAAAATGGTAACCCCCTCTCCTCTGCCTGTGGCCTGGGCTTTGACGACAGACAAAAAAAAAAAAGTCTCATGTAGACTCAAAGTCAGCGATCACTTCAGAGAAGAGGTTGGGATGAGGGCCTAGTGCTCATCTGCATAGGGAAGGTCAGCCGTTACTGCCTAGCGCTTGCTCATCCTCAGCAAAAGCAGATGAGAACTTTAGCAGATGTTTGTATAGATACCACTATTTTATGTAAAGCTTGTTTAAGCCCCCATAGCTCCTATGCAGCGCATACATGGACCATCGAGTGCTGCCCTCCAGAGCAGTCTGCCTTCAAGGCATTCAAATCACATCTAGTCCAGCCTCTTGAAAAATGTATGCATCAACTCTGACACACAACCACAAGCGTCACACCCTAACCTGCCACAGGTAAAGCAAGGGGACAGTAGCAGTTAGTGTCCTGTTGCTTCATGGATTGTTAAAATATACTCGGGAGGTTCAAGGATCTCCACGTTTGTAGGAAAAAAAGGGGGTGAGGGAATGACAGGGAAGGTGAAGGTGGCTCTTATCAGGCCCTGGAGCACTGGATACTACTGGGAAGGTGGATTTAGCAGTTCTGCTGAGCCTTGAAAATTTGATTTTCTCAATCATCTTGGGCTTGCTGGTAAGGGGGAAAAAAAGCAACAAAACAAACCCAAAACACTGCAGTGAAGTACCACTTCCCTCTGAACTTAATCTAAAGGCCCTTGGCATTTACCCTGTGGGCTAAAAGGCTGATGAGTGGGGGTTCCTCACCTCTTCGCAAGTCACTTGGCTACACTCTCCATCAGCCACAATTCAGGATTTCTGCCTCTCTGCAAGACCTTTTGGAAAATGAAGACCACCATGAGCGCAGTGAGCTATGACATGCTCTATGGCTACGAATGAACTGTGGCTAACATCTCTCAGCATGGGGGTAGAACAGAGGGCCTTTAAATCACAGAATGCAGCATCTGTAATAACCTGTTCCCACCTGGGCCAGTTTGCACAGGGCCAATTCCTGCCTCAGGTAGGGGGTTGGACTAGATGACCTCTGGAAGTCCCTTCCAGCCTGACCTCTCTATGACTAACCCACAACTTTGAAGCACTTCCCACACATACTCCCAATATGACCCACTGGCCTCATACCCCGACTCATCTCATCTGTTGTTGCTACTTGGGGCAGTAAGTTGTAATTTCCCACTGTCGGAGGTTTAACTCTTCCCCTGGGGTTGCAGCATGAGATGCAACCTGCAGATTTCACCTGAAACAAGTGTAGAAGTATGTTGCAACAGGGTTGTAGCCAAGTCAGGAACCTTTTCAAAGAGAGCAAAATAGCCTGGCTGCTTTTGAGCTGCGACCAGGAGCGGGGCCTGCTCTGCAGTGAAGCCAAGGATCTAAAAATCAAGAACAGTTACAGGAGGGTGGTTTCATACCCACTTCTGCACACTTGTCAGCTCTTCTCCGTTCAACCCAACAGGAACAGACGTACGAGTGCTGTGTGTATGAATGGGAGGGATGGCAAAGGGCTTGTGTGTGTTTGGTGCAGGTGGTTTGTAAGGTGTCAGTTCATTCCCTCTCTCCAATCAAGATGCAGAGATCACTTTGCATTTTTCCCCAAAAGAAGGAAGCTAATTGCTAATCCTGAAGGAGGGGCTCGAGGATATGTGGTACCTGGATCAAGGTCAGACCCTTCTGCACCTGTTGATCAATAAGCTTTCAGTAGTAGGACGGCATGAATGGAATCCCAATGGCTGTCCTAATTCAGAGACAACCCTCCTCACTTCCAGCTGGTGCCATCTCTCCCAGGCATCTCAGTGCATTACAGTATCCAAAGGGGAAAGGACTTGCCACAAAGCTATGCTAGCTAATGCAGCAAAGCACCCATAATGCACTCCAGCAAAAAGGATTTTAACTCATTCTTGATTTAAAAGTATGCAACAAAGCAAAGCAGTTCAGTCCCTTCAGGTGTACATCCACACCTGGCCATTTGCTTTCAGGGCAGATCTGCCTCCATTGCCACAAGACCACATCATGCAAACATAGAAATGGAAAAGCATTGTGGGAATTAGCAGGTAAACCACCCCAGGTACTCGGGAGTTTCCACATGAGGTAGTTCTGCTTTCCTTGCTTCTGACCACCACATACGTGGCTGCATCCTCCTTAACTGAAGGCTTTTCATAGGCTTTATCCACAAGCGCTGCTAAAATACTTTCCCCCATGATAGAGGCATGTTTGGACAGATGATGTCAAGCTCAGACAGGGCAAGGAAGAGGGTAGAAAGAGACCCTGCCCCCACCAGATTCTTATTTGCCTGAAGCCACGGTACGCCTGTCTGAAACAAGAGGCATCTTGAGGCGCAAGCAAACAGAAAGCAAAAACCCTTTATTGTACACAGTACAGAATGTAACGCAGCATTGCAGGAGACACACAGCCCTGCTCAAATAAAGGTTACTTCCAATCAATCCTCAGATTAACCCTTTCTGCACTGTAGACTTTCCACACCAAAAAAAAAGAAAGGAAAGAAAAAGAAAGCTAAAATCCATCTGCTAGATGCAGGAGTCCGGTGGGAAGTGCAACAGTGACACTGCCACCATCTTTCATGACTGTACAAGCCCATTTTATACATCATGGGGAGAGTAACTTAGTCTACAAAGAGTTAATCTTCATATGCTCAAAAAAATAAAAATAAAAAGAATAAATCGGCCAAAACCCAAACAAGGTTAACTAAGAAGTGGAGGGGAGGGATCCTATACAGCATTTACAACAAAAACTTCTAGCCAGTTGGGAAAAAATGCATATATGTTTAGTATATATGAGTGGTATAGGCATGTGGGGAAGCTGGAATTGAAAGGGCATGATTTTTTGTTTTTATGTGGATGAGAGCAAGGTTAGTTTATGGTGAGACACTCCTCAACTTCCTCCCCCTGGCATCTTTACAGCTTAACTCTTAAAAAAAAACCCAACCCCCCGCCCCCTCCCCAAACAAACAAAAAAACCCCAACAACCCTCAAGACACTGGATCAGACTGAACATATGAAAAGTGACACTGAAATTAAAAAGTCTGTTTCCGGATGCCCATGGCTCAAGCGGTCTCCAATCCTTTCAATCCTATGCAGGGTTAAAACATGAACAGAGGGACAGGTTGTTCAGTAGTAAGAGGACAGTCATGCCCAGGGTTATCCACTGCCGTGGCTAGGGGAGTTGGCCAAGAGGATTATCCATGTGTTATATACATATAATTCCCAAAGCGCATCTGTGAATGCAGGGAACTGTACATGCAGAACCCCGGCCGGGGTCCCTGCTGCCACCATGGGATAAGCACACTCCAACTGGACAACATGTGGGTGTAACTTCCACTTGGGAGCCAGGAACAGAAAAGCATAGAGCATTTACCTGCAGATGTACCTGGCTAGGAAGTTCCTCCATGACCCAGCTGTGGCATCTCAACACATCAAGTGCTACCCCAGGCCAAGAAAGCAGCAGGTCTGCAAAAAAAGTTAGCTTCACCTTCAGATACAAAAAAAACCTACAAAAAATTGGTTAGAAACTTTTCCCTAAAACATGATCCCCATGATCCCCTTCCTGCAAAATTAAAGCAACAGCCTTGAACAGGGAAGAGGAGCAACCGAAACACCTGGGAGGACAGCAAGGGGGAGCAGGAAGCCGTTATTTCAGAGAACCAGAGCAGGAGTTAGAAGAGCTGTCCACAGTGGAGGGAGGGGGGCTGTCTGGGCTTAGAGGAAACAAAAGGCTTCCTCTGGTCACTGGTGTGTCCCGCATTCCAAATCCAAAGTGCTGACCCTACCCAGGTATACCAAGCACCACACTTCAAGGCTAAATCACTCAGACTAGCTTTGTCATCCTCCACCCCCCACTCCTACCAACCCCCCTCCCCTCCCCTTCAAAAAAAATCCATTGTCTGTGCAAATCAAAGCCCTTTCCAACATACAAGGCAGCTACAAGTATTGTGATTGATGCAAAGCAGATTGTCATGACAATTCGCTACACAGTCACACTGTCTATCCAAGTTCCATGGGCACCATCATGAACAATGGCCACACAGTCACGTGTCTGTCCGTAAGCAACGTGACCTGGACCAGAGACTCCATTTTAGCTCCCTCCCCCAAAATCTCTTGGTGGCTGCAGTGAGTGGAGCCTTCAGACACTGGCAGTCCTAATACACCAGTCCTCGGACTACAAGGTTTGTCTTCGGTGGCGACACTCATCGCACGTTTTAGGCTCCTTGGATGATGCTCACAAACACCAGTTTTACGAACAGCGAAAAATTCTTTACAAAACCATTGCCCTTATCTGCCTGACTTTGAATCTCTAGCATTAGCATTCAGCTGCCCGGCCAGCCAGTCAGTAAGCAAACCCCTCTGCGTAGGGGAGGTTGGTGCAATGATCCATCTCCAGGAGGTAAGCAGGGCTATCCTCAAAATGTGTCAGAGGCAAAGTGTCATCCTCGTTGACATGGACATCGGGCTCAGCCTTCAAGAAGGGGCGTTGATTGTCCGGGTAGGCCATAGAAAAGAGGGCATCTGGGTCACAGACAAATTTATACACGTACCGCTCTCCAGCCACCTGGAAATGGAGACAAAGGTTTGCATGAAGGGGCAGCTATAGAGGGAGAAACAGCATGTGCACCACGTAGCACGAACAGGACCAAGTCTCCTTTGGTAAGAGATACTGCTGGTACTACGGAAGG